CCCATCATGAAATGTCTCAAATCTCTGCTCGTTACTGGCCAGGGCGTGGAATTTAAAAGCACTGACTATTCCACGTTTGTTTGTAGGTGTGCGTGCATGTGATTTTAATCTTCCCGAGACAACCGGCTGTCGGCTCACCGTCTTTCGTCTCCTCTCCAGGTCTCACCGGGATGCTGGGCTTGGGCCTGGCAGCTCCCAATTTAGCCTTTTCGCAGATGGTGACCACGTTCGGCCTGGCGGGCATTGTGGGCTACCACACGGTCTGGGGCGTGACCCCTGCCCTCCACTCTCCGCTGATGTCCGTGACTAATGCCATCTCAGGTTTGTTCCCCTCGCCCCTCCTTCAGGTTTCCGTGGGCTCAGCGACTGCTTTCCACGAGGTGTATAAAGCTGTGTTTGCCGATTGCCTGGCTCGCGTCTGGGGTTGTGGTGGTGGTGACTCGGGCTCCCTCCCGCAGGGACGGGCTGGGCTGCTTCCATTTCCAGCAGTGCAGCCACTGTCGTTTCCTCCAGTCATGATTTCCTTTAAGGAAAGGGCTCTCCGGTAACACCTGGGAACCCGTATGTCATAGAATTGTAGCGTCAGCGTCCTCTCGGGGTTCTTCTTGGGTTCAGCTAAGCATGCAGCCTAGTGAGTCGACAGCGGGCAAGCCCAGCTTCAGGTCGCCTGAAGCTACGGGACAGGAAAAGGTCGGCCAGCAGGACAGCATCGGTGTCTCCTTGGTGTGAGTCTCCGCCGAGGTCCCCACGGCCGTCCCCACGGCTGCCCAGCAGGGATCCCAGTGAGGGCTCGGGTCTGAGAATGAGGCCCACAGCGGACAGACGTGGGAGCTGCCCTGCTTGGAGGCCTCCCGGCCCCCGTGAGCGTCTCCTGTAACATCTCCATGGGCACAGCTTTTGGGGTCTCCGCAGGGACCATGTCCAGTTCCAAGAAGCACCGTGTTCAGGGAAGCCCCACGTTATGGCTTCACCGTCACGTGTCCTGGCTCAGGGACAGTTCCTTCCGGCCCAGATGCACTTTGCCCCCCGTTGTCCAGGGACCTTATCGATGTACACCTTTAGCAGGACAGAGACAGAAAGATGAAGGAAGGTCAGAATCTGTGCAGAAGGAGAAAGCGTTTTGCTAACTCTTGGCCCAAAGGGTGCTTCAGCGGGAACGGCGTGTGAGGACTTTCTCCGTCATGAGTCTGTGCGTGTGACGTCCTGCTGTGCCATCTGATTGGCGGTGGCACTGTAACCCTTTACCCTGTTGATGCTTTCCTCGCAGGGCTGACGGCAGTTGGCGGCCTGGCGCTGATGGGTGGACATTTGTATCCGTCCACCACGTCTCAGGGCCTCGCCGCCCTTGCTACCTTCATATCCTCGGTCAACATTGCAGGTATGGTGACCGTGACCGAAGCCACGGTGCTGTTTGGAATGAGAATCAACGTAAAATAGACATTCCGATTTTAAGAATTTGTGCCTTTATTTAAAAAAATGTTTCACTCAGACCATAAATGCTCTCTATGAAGGAAAGTTAGTTATTTTTCCGGTCTGTAATTTTTAGAAACTCTTTTGATAAAAACCCCCTAGGGCCCTGAAACAAATAAAACGATGGGAAGTGATTCAATACATAGTTGGGCATGAAGCTGATGAAGCGCTATCACTATAACATCTCTAGATGAGTCTAATTTGAGATAAAATTGTAGCCTTTTGACTGGGCCTCGCCTGCGTTTATTTCTAAAACCTGAAAGCCTAGCACGGAATTTGTGCATGAAACTCATTTGCTGCTATTTTGTAGCTAGAAATTCTTCAGTGGGTCCAAGAAACCCTGTGCCTGTGGATGTGGTATTTCTTTCTTTTATCAGTTATTATAGGGTATAACCAACAGGATAACCTATTAGAAAACAAATCCTGGCCTTTGATGGTTTGCATTCCAAGCCGTTTGAATGGCTGCTTACTTGCAGTCATGCGGAAATAGTTGGTTCTGACTGATAGCAAATTTAGGGTTTTTATTTCCCCTTCAATGGAACTGGCTTGAATAATAAAGTAACTTCTAATTTTGACCGTCTAAAATGTTACTTAACACGATATGTTTCCATAGATGATGAAGGCGTGCTTAAAAATAGGAAAATCGTCACACTTTGAGAGATCGGTTGCTCAGTGCGATAACCTTTCTGTTCTGTATTTCCTTTGAAAATCAGGTGGCTTCCTGGTGACTCAGAGAATGCTGGACATGTTTAAGCGTCCCACGGACCCCCCAGAATACAATTACCTGTATCTGCTCCCTGCTGGGACCTTCGTTGGAGGATATTTAGCCGCCCTCTCCAGCGGTTATAACATTGAACAAGTAAGAGGCTCTTTGGAGAGTGCTCGTTTTTGCCACTGTTTTCCCCCCACGTGGATTTAACATGATCGTTACCAACATTCAGACTCCATCACAAAGATACAACAACAACTCTAGAAACATCGTGGTCAAATGGAGTGTCCCCACCCCTTAGAACTGGGACCTGGATTCCAGAGCCAGGCTCAGGTTCACCTGCTAACTGAGAGTGCAGATGTGGGTTTGCCTGTGTGCCCCCAAGTTTTTCCACATGTACAAAGAGTTGAGAAGGTTGTTAGTATCCTCTTTATGTACCGGCTGGATTCTTGTGGGGATACAATGAAGAAATCAGTAATACATTTGAGAATTTCTCTTATTCAATACGATTAGTACTTTTCTTACTTTCCCCCCTACAAACCCACTACATCTTCTCTTGCTATCAGGAGATGTTATACCAGTTAATTCAAAAATGAGAGTTTACAAACGAATGCTCTCTAGAAAAACAAGTAATCGAGTTCAGCTGTGAAAGGCATAAATATAATTGTAGTCCTCAACGCTGAACTTGGTGTTTTCCATTGCTCTGCGATGACTATCACTAGATTGCAGCAGCCTCCCTGGGAGCAGAAAACTCCTGTCTCTCTTGGTTTCTCCCATTTCTAACGTGTAGCACTTGTTGAATGAACAACATCTTTTTTGAGAAGCGTTGGGAGTGGTGAGTCAGAGGGACCCGCGTCTGACCCAGATTTGCTATTTACTGATTCTCTGACCTTGGAAAATTTACGTAACCTCTTTAAGCTTTGGTTTCCTCTTCTGTGAAATGAGGCTGATGATTCTTTCCTCCGTGGGTCTCGTGGGACTGAGTTACAACATTGGTGAAGTGTGTAGCTCGGTCCCCCGGCACACACAGCATTGGCGGTTGCCTCCTTTATCGCATTGGTTAGATCCCCTAATGACATAATTTAAGTTTAGATACTTTTCCTATGCATTTGTGCATGCCATCCAGTCCCAAAGAAACCAATTTATATAAATGGTGTAATTGCAAATACAACGGAAAGTGTTTAGTATCCCTAATGGATAGGAAAATATATTGAAATATTAAAAGAAGAGCTCATATTGGTCTCTCTAGTGTCTGAACTTAAAATTGTCTTTAGAGAATCATGTGTCCTCAGGCTAACAATGAAAGTTTTGATTCTCTCTCTGTCTCCCTTTTCCTTTGGAAAGATCATGTACCTGGGCTCAGGTCTCTGCTGTGTTGGTGCCCTGGCCGGCCTGTCCACCCAGGGAACAGCTCGTCTTGGCAATGCATTGGGCATGATCGGTGTGGCTGGAGGCCTGGCAGCCACCCTTGGGGGCCTGAACCCGACCCCTGAATTGTTGGCTCAGATGTCGGGAGCAATGGCCTTGGGCGGCACCATTGGTAAGCACCGTGGGTTTCCGCCTCTAAGCAAATCCATGCTCATTTCTTAGCCCTCGGTTCGCTCAGTTGATGCACTCATTCAATTAAATGTTTTACAGTGTTTGTACTTGAATGAGAATTATACCAGTTATGATGACTTTTCACCAAAATGAAATAGATAAGTTACGTTAGGAACAAAGGTAATGAGGCTGTCCACCCTTTTCTAATTATTAGATTTTGTCCGGGCTCCTGGGGTCTCCCCATGTTTATTGCACCTGCGTTGTAGAAATACAGTGTAAGGATGGGCTACTGTCTGATGTCCATCTCTTCCCACCTCCATGTTCAGTGACCACACTGGTGGCCTGGAATCAGCCACGGTTTCATTTATGGTTTTGTTGACTGTCCATACCTGAGGAAGCAATGGAGAAAACATTAATAACGCAGCTTAAACGGAAAAGTAGTGTCCGTAGCCATTACCTTGTGAAGAGCACAAAAACTGGGCCGGTGTCCTTCCAGTGTTTGAAAACTATGACCAGATTCGGTGAGGTTGTCACTCGCACGGTTGACAGTGAGTGCATTTCTCACAGACATCTTTTTAAAAAAATACTGATTTTTAAATCATCTTTTTTATTGATTTTAGAGAAGAAGAGAGAGGAAGAGAGAGAAACATGGATGTGAGAGAGAAACATCGATTGGTTGCCTCCTGTGTGCACCCTGACCGGGGATCAAACCTGGGTATGCGGCCTGACCGGGAATTGAACCGGCGACCTTTCGGTGCACAGACGAGGCCCAACCAACTGAGCCACCCCAGCCGGGGCTCATGTACATCTTGTTTCACTTTCTTGTTACTGTTAACAAAATTATTAGCCAGCGTTCACCTTGGAACCACACTGGTTCTTCCGCAGACACTAGGTTGCCTGCAGGTACCAGGGTTTGGTAAAAATCAACAAAAGCATTCTGTGAAAATCAATTGCCGTATGGAATTTATGTTAAAGAGTATTTCATACTTTATTATTATTTGAAAGCTGTGTGCTAATACCTTTTCTATTAGTAAGAATTCATGTGTGTATTTATACACACAAATGTTTGTATCCTGAGGACCTGGTGGTTAAATATTTATCAGCATATTAGCTTCCAGCCCCCTTTTGTCCTGACAGCCCCTGGAAAGAGCAGTGAAGGGAGATGCCCATGCTGTGGGCTCAGGCAGGAAAACCTCTAGACATGAACTTAGCACCTGCCAGAGCCGTGAAACTCCGTCAGAAGCTCCGAATTTGGATGTCTGTACCCCAGATATTTGCATTTCGTGGCCTTGGGACGTGGCTCCTGTCCACCCGCCCGAAGACGTAGTCCTTCTGCGTGCCCAGCTGGTCCCTGGCTGCTGAGCCTGGTTTTCCGAGCCATGGGGGGGCTTCCGGGGGCTGAAGGGATCCGAGGGGGCGCCAGCCGGGGCCGTGTGCAGAGGCTGTGGAGGGAACGGGCTCTCTGGAGTCGGCCTTGGCTGCGTGTGTTGAGAGCCCCTGCTGTTCCGAAGGGGGGTACGTGGGGCCCGCAGCGTCTTTAGCCCTCGCTAGGAAGCAGGGACCGATTTCCCGGGGATGGGTGGAGCCCAGTCGGTGTGCTGTCTGTTGCGGCCCCTCCTCGAGGCTCCGTCCAGCCTTCACTTCTGTTTGGCCTGCATTTCCCCGCAGGCCTGACGATTGCCAAGCGCATCCAGATTTCCGACTTGCCGCAGCTGGTGGCTGCCTTCCACAGCCTGGTGGGCTTGGCGGCCGTGCTGACCTGCATCGCCGAGTACATCGTGGAGTACCCGCACTTCGCCACGGACGCCGCGGCGAACCTCACCAAGATCGTCGCCTACCTCGGGACCTACATCGGCGGGGTCACCTTCAGCGGCTCCCTCATTGCCTACGGGAAGCTGCAGGGTGAGCGAGGCGGCGCCCGGGCGGGCCTGCCTAGGGCTTCGGGGGCCGGGCCGTTTCAGTTTCAGCCAAGAGCTTCGAGGAGAAGCCGTTGGCTGACGCGTCTGGGCAGCTCTCGCAGTATATAAACGTATTGTTTTCTCCGTAAAGGTGGCCTCCCCTCGTTGGTCCTTACAGACCTTATAAAGCCTGGGAGCGCTGTCTTGCGCGTACAGCTGGTGGAGGAGACCAGGGACTGACTGACATTTGATGATGCATGTGAACAAAATAACATCGTCATAATCCTTGGTTTCCAGAATAGAGGAAGCTTATGGAGTATGTTTGTGTGATTGGTCCATGGCACTTATCTTGAAAACAAATACATATTTCAGGGCTCTAGTTTCGCAGCTTTTGCAGCTGCTAAAACCAAGCATGAAAACAGAAGAAAAGAAAACCCTCCACGTAGGCTGCTTTCGGTGTTTTCATGAAAGAGTGAGTCTCTAGAGCAGGGGTGGGGAACGTTGAGCCCCTGGGCCATATACGGCCCAAGAAATTGTTTGGTCTGGCCCTGCCAAGGCAACCGCAGGTGGGACTTGAAATTCAATAAATCTAGAAGCTTTTTTTCATAGCTAATTTTTAAGTTGATAATTTTGTATGGCCCGTGACTGATGTTCTAAATATCAGAATGGCCCTTGGCAGAAAGGAGGTTTCTGCTCTAGGGAAACTAGTTTGTGATTTGAAAATCTGCTCTTGCCGCTCCGTAATCAACTCATTAAAATTAAGCGGGGAACTTCCATGAAACTTAAAGGTCGCAGAAGGACTCTAAGCCCACAACACTCTGTCTTACGCTTTGTCTTCATCGACAGCCAGCGAACCAGCCTTCCCACCTGGGCTCAGTCGATAGGATCCGGATTGCTAGTGTGTTAGGGCTTTGTTTTGAAGTTTGAAATAAACAAAACAACATTTAACTTCTGTGTTGGTCCTACGGGGAAAAAGTGACTTTTCAAGATTCCGTGACCAGAGTAAAGAAGCTGTGGCGCGAGCGGGTAGAGGACAGTCGAGTTGAGGCCTAGCTTTCCTGCTTCCGTTAGTTTTCTGTCCCATGGAAGAACCAATTTGCTTTTATGTTTCAGTATCTGGTGATGGGAAGTGACATTCCAAATACCGTGTCTTAAGTCTAAGGTTACATCTTGGTAGTTTAGGCCTAAGGGACAGTCGCCGTGCGGGAGGGGTGTCTGAGGCCCTAACCGCCCTGCGCTTGGTTCCAGGCATCCTGAACTCCGCGCCCCTCCTGCTGCCCGGGAGGCACCTGCTCAACGCCGGCCTGCTGGCCGCCAGCGTGGGTGGCATCATCCCGTACATGGTAGACCCCAGCTTCGCCACGGGCATCCTCTGCCTGGGCTCCGTGTCCGCGCTCTCCGCTGTCATGGTAAGAGTTGGAGATGGGAGGCACATAGCTGGCCGGGAACTGCTAGTATTTTATCAGCCATGTTTCTATCTCTTCAAGACCCCCGATGGAATAAATATGTTTTAAAATGATGTTACGTGTTTATTGTTCTAGAATCTGGAAAATACAGAAAAGTATAAGAAGAAAATCACTTTCTCTTCTTAATTATTCCTTTTAAAGTTGTCACATGCGACATCTTTATTGCCCCGGGGTCTTGTCACTGGACCAATGTGCCTGTGAACAGGGATTTTAAAAAGCCAAGCGTTGAAATTCTGCTGTGTGACAAGGCCTACGAATCAGTGCTTCAGGGTTTATGTCACCGCGTAGGATAGTCCCTGCAATCTGCTGCTCTCACTTTCTTTGGAAAGTCAAGCAGCTACATGAAGTGAAATGCAGTTAATGAAGATCAGTGAGGGAGGCCAGGGGAGCCCTTCACGCAGGGTGGCCCTCCTCCTGCTCTCTAGCGTCCGCGTTGAGGATATCGACACGCGCCGTGGTCTTCAGTTGCCTCTATGTTACGCTTTAGCATTTCATTTCGTCCGAGTCTGAGGCTGTGGCACACGGCTCTGTGTGACTGACGAACTGCTTCCTGTTTACTTTGTAGACAGGGTTTACATTTTAAATTTTTAAAATAATTTACGGTGTTATAGACATAATAACAATTGCTTATCAAACACTGACCGGCTACTTGTTCAGAAACACAAGATTTAGTATTAAAATGAGACTGATTTTCATGTAATCATAAGAGTTTGGCTGTGATTTCAACAGGGAAGCTTTAGAGCACTGAAAAGGAACTTAAAATTCGATCTTTATGTGACCACCGTTGATCAGTTTTAATTCTGACTTACATAGCATGGATTTGTGTTTTATTTTAGACAAAAGAAAAATAGCTTTGATTTTTTTTTTTTTTTTTGGTCTAATAGGGCAGAAGAGGTAAAAAAAAAAAGTTGTCAAAACCAAACCTGCAGCCTTGAAATGTAAAGCTTTAAGAATTGTTACTTTTGAGGAGACATGAATTTGATACTTAATGACTCTGTGAGAATGAGTAGGATAAAGTATTTCATGGACTAATATAATTGGTTTTGGCTTAATTTAGTAATGCACGAATACATTCACATTGTAGCCAAAATCTCTCTCTCCACAATCCCCTTTCCTCTCTGGTTTAGTGATTTCGGGTTGCATCCTGGACATCGTGAACGACAGAGACTTTGGATTCTGTTGTATTCCTCCAAAGAGTATTGATGATGATTATTTCTTTATTAGTTTTTGTAGGCAGCTTACCAGGCTGGATCCAGATTTCAAATCCTGGCTCCCCTGTGGTAGGGGGCAGCTGCAATCTTTAAAAGCATTTTTAAACCAAATTTTAAATTCAGTGTTATTTTGTCTTAGTTTCTGGTGTACAGCATAGTGGTTAGACGATCATATACTTTTCAAAGCGTTCTCCCTGCTATTTCAAGTACCCATCTGGCGCAGCATTCAGAGCTATTACAATATTATTGCCTCTCTTCTCTACGCTGCACTTTGCACCCCAACCATCTTCTGTTATCTCATCCTTAGCAGGATGGCTGGGAGTCTGCCCACAGAGGCCTAGTTCTGGAGTCAGCCGGAGATTTGGACAGAGTTTATACACAGAATTCGGGGCTTCATTTCTCTAGCCTACCGCTTTGCAGAATTTACTTTCTCACTTTCCAGCTGCCTCAGTCACCCTAAACCCTACCCTCGGATCTTCCACTTGGCACCGACAGGGGCCTGCCCTTAGGCTAAGGCCATAAAGACCGGGAAAGGCACTCGGCTCAAGGAGGTGGCTCAGTGTTTACATTTGTTGCATCTGGGGGAGACTTGGTCAGATAGAAGGCACCTGGTCCGGACCAGCAGGGGATTGCGTATGTAAATAGAGTAACTAGGAAACTGGGATGATTGAGAACCAAGGTGTTCAGGGCAGGGGCTCTCTTTCCTTGTATGAGTTTTGAGTGGTGCCCTGCTCTCTGCCCCAGGGTGTGACTCTGACGGCTGCCATCGGGGGCGCAGACATGCCCGTGGTCATCACCGTGCTGAACAGCTACTCGGGCTGGGCCCTGTGCGCCGAGGGCTTCCTGCTCAACAACAACCTGCTGACCATCGTGGGCGCGCTCATCGGCTCTTCGGGGGCCATCCTGTCCTACATCATGTGTGTGGTAAGGAGGGAGCAGC